TCGTAAACATATAAGGTTATGGTTCAACGGCTAATAGTGAACACATAGTCTTTCAACATCGGGAAATATATCAAATTAATTATCCAATAGATAAATAAGTCACTGCACGTCCGAGATAGAAGTTAATCACTGAAAAACAAATATAATTACATCTGATAAATTGTACAAACAGGCAATGATTTAATAAGCTGTATTTGTACAGACGTAATTGTATTTATATTAGAGTGAATACCGTTATCTCTAACATGCAGTGACACATTTATAGTTGAAATCACTAATTTATTATGTGCCCATGCTTTCTACTAGTGTTGGGAAATGGTTGAAATCTCACAATTGATGATTGTTTCATTACCATCATCGAAAAAAATTGGTTAGCGTCATTTTTAAGATTTTCCTATCCAGGTTGTTATTGCAGATATTTATAACATGATGCAACTTGCTACTTTAAAGTGATGACTAATATATCATGAACATAAACTTCCCGGAGTCTTCAAGAAATATTCAGTCATGGTTTTTGCAGTTAGTGAAGTGAGTTTTCTACGAATTAAACACGTTTTCAGGCACTGACAACTTCAACGATATGTTTCATTGTCAAGTATTTCAAAGACTAAAACAGTAGTTCCAAAATCGTTTATGTTCGATTATGAGAAAATGTGATCGATTGCTTGGTTGATTGGTCACTGCGATCAATCTTCGATTATTTCAATTAATCGGAACACCACTACTTTCTACACTATCTGATAGCGTTATACCACCCTGTTGAAGTCAGTGTCCATCAAAAACACGGCCTTGACCATGTACAGGCAAACACCGATGTGTCGACCTTTGATATGACGAACGTGGGCTGTATCGAAGTGAAAACTTGACCTCTTTGGATTCTTTCTCTGTTTGTTTTATATTTCGGTTGCGTCGAACCACGGGTAACTCGAAGAGTTTATGTTGGTCTCTTTAAATTGGACGCAACCGTGTTTACATAGCAATAGTACAGTCAATTCCACGACAGTGTGTTCCCATCCCGCATTGAGTGAGTGAGTGAGTTAATATTTAACGTCACATCGGCAATATTTCAGCCATATCGTGACGAGAACATTCGATATTGAAATGAAATATATGTATATTATAAAAAACCTGCCGACGAAGGACAGTAAAACAACTAGAATATCACAGATATGTATGTAAAACTAGTAATTAAATCTAAAACCTGTTACTTTTAAATGACAATACAAGGTAAAAACAGGCTATAGATTGCCAACAACTGAAGGTAGATCACCATACTAGGGACCATTGGGACTTACAGTACATTTGCTTCCTGTATGGACCCATCCCGCATTGGTATCTGTACTACCAATTAGAAAGTCCAGTCGAACGAAACGGGAATAGATATAACATAGTTATAACAGTTATAACATAGACACCAATCCCGTTAGTTTAGGAATTCCTGTAAAGAGTACGGTATGACAACAGCAGGTACACTGAACTGACGCTGGTCCCTCGTTAGGACTCCTTCATCCGGAAATGTAATTTGTGATGATCCCAATGGGAATTTGCCGTCTGGATCAACAGGGTTTCATTTCAGTAACTTTATCAACAGATAACCTTTTATCTTTTATATTTTTTTGTAGTTTGTGGTTGATTTAACACCGATAAATGACACTGAAAGACGTAAGATTTGAAAAACAGATTTGAATAGGTTCACCATCATTCCTCAAATGCGTTTCTTTAAACAGATTTATTTTATTGCTATCGATTTATGCAGCTGCGTGATGCAGTCAGGAACATTTCTTTCTCATTAACCGGTTCAAATTTAATAAAAATAACCTTGGAGATTAATCCATCATTGTCATGGACGAATTTCAAAATAGTTTAAGAACTTGGTAACCTTGTTTGGCCTATCACTAAAGTGAAAAAACATATTTCAATAAAACTAGAAAGCCCATGAATGCAATTATGTTATAAAATTCATTTAGTCCACAACATTTAGAGATCATGTTCTTTTCATGTTGACTTTCAGATCAAATCTCTGCTTGGTATTACTCGCATTTGGAGAACCTGACAGAACTGTCCCCCATTTTCTACGTTCTGCACACAGTTGAAAATATACTTGAAAATAATCAGTGCTGGTAATACCTTTTCAAATAATGTTTTCATGTTCTTGTCCAAAGAGGAAGTTTCTAAATCAAGCTGGATAGGGAGTATTATAGGTTTCAATACACCAGCCTCAATACAATAAGTCAATACAATCACTGATGCAAATAAGGATTTGTACAGGGTGATGGGTATATTTATAAGAGACTGATACCAGTGGTTATTCTGTGGTGAAGGGTTTGAAAGGATGTGAAAATTATACTTGGGAGGTTTGTAATGTTTCGGCAAAAGGTTTCAGTCCACTAACGTTTTGTTAACATTGTAATTTGATGCCATGTCTATTTGGTAAGTGGGTACGTTTTTGTGTCCAGCAGTAATAATAACATGAACATTTTAAAGGTCACATGCAACCAAAAAATCAAACATAATTAAAACACAATTATCACTTATTCATGACATATAATATACATTGCTGGTTACGAAAAAATATATAAACAAAATTATAAGCGTTCAATCGCAAATCGAAAGTGCAAAATTGTGTACTTCGGTTTACTTCCCAAGAAACGAAGCAGCCGGGGATACCGAACCCAGTCAGAGCGGGTGGGTGTGCACTCAAGTGTAACGGCTGGTTCATTTGCAGATGCCTTCACGGCTAATTGTGTGTATATATAGAGAGAGATGTTGGGTTTTGTAAATACATGCTCATTTTTTTGTGTATAACATTTTGCAATCAACAGACATCATAACATGTCATGTGTTCAAGTATCACCCCTGCCTTTCTGTGTAATTACATAATGTGACAGAGACCGAACTCGGGCCATAAATCAATGCATTGTGTTTATGGTGTATAGCCTGATTGGTGTTAAAGAACCACTAAACTTTGTTTTTTGTTACTCTTTTAACCATTACATATGAAAGATTTGTGGTTAGTCTTATGCGGAACACCAAATTTATTCTTTAAAAACTTGTGGTTAATTAATACCGAGCGATTAAAAGTGGCCAAAAAGTCGCCTGCTTCCCTCTCGCCCGCCAACGAAACCACAGACAGGTTACGTAACTCTGTCGCCAGAGCACTGCAGTGACGTCATATGAGGAACGATTTTCAGTTAGTTGTATAGAAAGTGTGTAGCACGCTCATCATTTTGATGATTTCTCGACATGAACGACGACATGCCGAATCGTTGCTTTGTCGTCAATTGCTCCTAGGGGTCGGGTGATGGTGTCACCATGCACAGATTTCCACAGGATCCCGCAGTTCGTGCTAAATGGGTTATGTTTGTGAGTGCGAAGCGAGCGTTGTGGAAGCCTGAAACGATATCTTACTTGTGTTCAGATCGCTTCACCAAAGTTAAAGAATCAAAACTACTTACTAGTTATAGTAAAATATGTATATGATTGATGACCATAAAGATTTTCCATAACACAACTTGTAACATAACGATTTCTTCCTCGGAAGTGAGGTTGTGGTCGAAGTAACAATAATATTGTAAGTAGTATTATATTGACACCCACCTCGCTGCCAGGAGAGAAATTGTCATGTTATACGCTATGTCATGCAAAATCCTATTGGCCATCAATAAAATACATATTTTACTACCAGTAGAAAGTAGTTTTGATTTTGTAACTCGGTGAAAACAAACCTAAATAGCATTTATCCACAGACTGGCGGATGTTCCCGACAGAATATGCCATTTTGAAAATCGTAAAGTCTGTTAGAATTAATGAGATTATAGTTTGTTTTCATCAAGTTAGAAAATCAAAACTACTTTCTACTCGTAGTTAAATATGTATTGGAATCATAACCAAAAGGGTTTTGCATGACACAACTTATAACATAACGATTTCTTCCACGGAAGCGAGGTGGGGGTCGAAGTCACAATACTGCGCGATAAATTTCTTGCTACATTCACATGGTTAATGTCCACTCACCAGTATGTAGATACTAGTCAATGTGCGTCTTTATATTTGGTCTTATAATCCTAATTAGTTTATTATCATACTTTTATGCATTTTGAAACTAAATAAAAAGCTGACGATCTGCTGATACTTATAGTGAATTTATAACAGAACTGTAACATTTTATAGTTTGCCAATGTGAATCATAATTCGCACACACACCCTAGTGTATGTTGTCTGTCTCATTACACTTCAGGGCGAAAACAATGATTCTGTTGAATGCTACGACAAATGATTAAAAAACAAAATGCAAATATTAAAATTAAAACAGATTAAAGTTATAGGAACAATATCAGGCCATTACCTTGTTTGAGGAATGTATCCATCAATATCCACAAAACTGTTCCAAATGATGTGTCTTTTAACAGTTTAATATACGAAAAAGTGATAAATCTTTTCAGGTATTGGTGTATAGTCTCATTGGTCACCCAAGATAGCACACCTGGCAACTAATTGCATAATGTCCGCCTTTCATTAAAAACAGTAATTTAGTTAGCCAATAATGGGCAATCAATCAATGTATTGCCGGTTAATCCTTTGAAAGAAGGACGTTGTTTTACGCAGACACCGACACGGCAGAGTGTATTCAGTATAGATTAGTAAATCTACATACATAAACACTACCTTTTGACAATTCCGCTGTGTAAGATAAAAGTAATTAATCAATCAGCGTGTTATCGGTTAATCCTTTGATCGATGTTCATAATGTTGAATATTTACTCCAGACACAAGAAATGCCAAATGGGAACCTTTGTCGGGTAATCTAAGTGTGTTACCACTAATTATACCTGTTATAAATTCATTAACTGACCATCAAGTGAATGATGACAAATAACATGTGTAGGTTTATACCACCTAACACGGGTTACAACAAGGGAGTATTAATTGCTGTATTGCATGTGAAAACTTATGGGCCGACACTGTTTTGAGAATACAAACAGATTTTTACATGACATGATTAAATATCGAGGTAAAAAAACACAGAAATAGGATCAATTTGGATCAGTCATTATACAAATAGGGCCTAACGACACCAATCAATTGTGACAGAAGCGTCTATGAAAACAAGTTGTAACTCGGAAACTAGGCAAAGCAGGAGACAAAATTAAATGACAGTAGATTGTGAGAACATATAGCTTTCATTTTCCACAACAATTGTCACGATTTCAGGTTTATACAAGCCTGTAAACAAGATAATTTACCCCCTAAAATGTAGATGAATTCTGCATCGGCCCTCAAAGCTATTCCTCATATGACGTCACAGAGTCGCGCCGCTCTGATTGGTTGAAATTTCGTTCGCGGGTGAGAATTGTGCACTGTTGTCAAAAAGGTCGATTTAAGTCAATTAAAGGTCGAAATGAGTAGTTTTAATGACGGGGTTGCATTTATAACGATGCCAGTTAGTGATTTATGTATTTTTACCCCCTAGGGTTCATGTGACCTTTAAGTTCAAATCGCTTGTGGTCAGTGATAGCAGCTGTGTATTGAATATTGTCATTAGCAGACAGGCAGGCATACACACAGGTGTCAATAAAACAAGACATTGAGTTTTGTCTGTGACAACGACATATCTATATCACAGTTAGAAATTCTGTCAACGCTAAATAATGACATTGCTTTTAAGTATCGAACTGAGAAAGTTTCTCGGTAAGAAGATCGTGTGGTGAAATAGACAAATGAAATTATATAAACAGTTAATTTACTGTCATAACATATAAAAAGCTCGCGCCTGTGAGATATCAACAAAACATTAGAAAAATAGCTCACACCAAAGCCTTCACCGAGTATTCACCCGACAACCCGCTTCCAAGCTGCGCGAACCTATTTACTTGCGCACGTGCTATGAGCGCAGCCCAGCTGTTGAAACCCGTTTTCCCCAGAAAAGTCTGGGGAAATTTAGTGAAACGTTTGAACTCAGATTTCGCGCGTTTTTTTCCATCGCGTTATTTTTCAACTTTATAAGTTGAATTTGCATTTTTGACGATTTGTTTCGGTATGTCCATACCGAAAGGTATCAGAATCTGCAAAGTTTTGTTTTACGTTGCATGTGACCTTTAAAGATGTACTCCACGGCCTTTCAAACAGAAGATGAGAGCCACGAGGTCACTGTGACCTGTGACTATAACACAGGCTAGTGTTAGGTCGGAGTGACCTAACTACAAGTAGATTGTGCTAATAAAACCAGTGAGTATATCAGATAAGGGCACATTGTTTACGCCCAGTCCATACTTAATCAAACAGTCTGTCGTGTTTCACCTGGAATATTGCCAACTGTAAAGTAAAGAACAACCATTTAGTCACTCGAGGTGAGGTGAGGTGAAATTGGGTTTAACGTCGTGCTTGAGAATATTTCGCTCATATGACGACGTGCATGCGTGTGTATGTATATGTGCGGCTGCTTGTACTAGCCCAGACTGAAGCTGGTTTTATAGTGCTAGCCCACTGAGATACCATGCCGCAGTGAAGCATGAATACCCCACTCAGACACATTATACTGACTCCGAGCCGACCTGTTCTTGTTGTACCCATTAATGCCGAGCGCCAGCAGGGACCAACAAGTACCATATTTTAACGTCTTTTGGTATGACGCAGTCGGGGATCGAACCCGCGACCTTCCGCTCTCCGGGCGGACACTCTAACCACTACACCACGGAGGCGGTCTTTAATCACTCGAGTTTCTTCAGAAGCTATCAACGTTTTCATGTTGTGCAAGAGAAAGGCTACTATCACCCGTATCAGTTTATGACAGTGGATTGACTGTCCTGTACAGCCTTTGAACAAGCAAGTTTTGGGCGAGTTCGGCCAGCATGGTGTAGGAGGTTTATTGACCTAAACGAGTTTTCCGTTCTGATAATAACCTCGGAGTTTCTCTGTGGTTTGGGATGAGATCTTTTGAAATTCCACTTGTATTTCATTGATAAATTTTTCTCATAACCCATTTCTATGTCCTGGAATTAAACAGTGAATGAAACAGATCCTGATCCAGAGCTACTGTCACCCATCTTTGTGATTCTTTTTATGCCAGCAGTATATAGTTGTATGTAGTTGAAATGATCATCTCTACCATGACACGGCACCAGTGAAGAGCCACTTCCTCGTGGTGGGTGCTGGGTAACGCTAAGAGCTCTTCAACCCCCCGTTGTGGACCCGGGGGTATAAAATTGGTCCACCAACCCGTTTGCCGTGGGTTGCACCCCTGTGTCGGTGGAGGACGGGATTCTGGTGGTTGAGGGCATTGGTTCCAGGATTAGCGTTCCTTTGCCCAAAATTTGCCTAGATGCGGTGCCAGAAGGCAGTGGCTCATGGGCAAATCTGGTGGAAAAATTATTTTTTAGTTTTTCTGCTTGAGTATATCATCCGAGTATCCTTGGTGCTGCAAGTGGGAGACCCGGTTGTCTTTAGCATTGTCCTTGTGATACTCCGTGGTGGGTGGGGGGCTCGGATGATGAAGTCTAAACACTTACCATGGCTTATGAAACCCCCACAAAAAAGCAAACGTCCTCTTGAAATGATCCTGATGACAACGACCTCCTACTACCCAAACAAATTGATTACTGGCCACGTTTCGTTGTCATTGACACCAAAGATAACACACCATTGAAGTTAAACCCTTTTGCTGTGTCTAAGGGTATCCAAGGCATTGCCGGCGATGTAACGAATATTAAAAAATTACGTTTTGGTGCGCTGTTGATCGAGTGCAGCAAAAGACAACAGTCCACCAACCTGTTGAACACTGACACTTTTGTTGGCATTCCGGTTACCTTCACGCCCCACAAAACACTTAACACTAGCAAGGGTATCGTGCGAGACCGCGATAGATTGCTGGCTGACATGTCGGAACTTGATATCGTCTCCAAAATGAAGGATCAGGGTGTGCTATATGTTAAACGTTTCTCAACACGTATAAATGATACAACCATTAAACCAACACATATCTGTTTTCCTTTTCTTTACCTAATGCTCCCAAATCACTGAAGGCAGGTTATTGTAACCTCAATCCTGAGACATACATTCCAAACCCTCTTAGGTGCTTTAAATGTCAAAAGTTTGACCACGGCGTAAATACTTGCACATTGTCTGTCGTGTGTGCTCACTGTGGTGAGAAGACACACACAACTGAAGATTGTACAAGTACCTTTAAAAAATGCACCAACTGTTCAGGAGAACATTCATATTTCTTAAAAGAGTGTCCGATTTGGAAAGAACAAATGCAGATCAACAAGATCAAATTTACCCAAAGCATCAGTTTTTCTGATGCCAAATTGTTTGTAAAGAGATCTGAACTTACAGAAAGTTATGCTTCAATAACCAAAACACCAACTGAATCAAGCCCTATAGTATCTACATCATCCACAAGCTGTCAAACAAACTTGACTTGGGTCAAAGGCGACAATCCACAGCTTTTGTATCCTGCTATATCATCTCAAACTACGGAATCACTTCCTCGTACGTCCGAAAGGCAGCCAGAGTCCTCTTCTGATCATCAGTCATCCTCTCAGTCCCGTTCACAGTCTCTCAATCGTCATCTGATACTCAAGAAAAATAAACCGAAGCAAAACCAAAGTGGCAGAGCCTCAAAAGGGTCGGAAAATAGAATTCAGCTATACAAGAAATATGGATCTCTTGACGCCATGGACGTATGTGAAAACATCCATTCTAGGGCACATAGCTTGGCCCCCCACAAAAAAGTGCGGGGTAGATCCCCAATAAATCCCCCCAAAAGATAATGTCTTCTAATAATATTGTACAGTGGAACTGCAGAGAGTTAAGGAATCATTTCAATGATTTGTAGCTATTAGTCCAGGACTTCACACCATCAGCCATCTGTCAGCAGGAGACATACTTAAAACAGACGGATACATTTGACCTACGCCATTTCAATGCATACCATTCTTTTTCACCTCCGGGTGATCGGGCCACTGGAGGATCTTCCATCCTTATCAAACAGAATATTATCCATAGCCCTGTTATACTTAATACTGGTCTCCAGGCGGTTGCCTTGCGACTCACATTACATGTTGCGCCCACTTTATGCTCTTTGTACATCTCACCGTCTTCAACTCTTCAGAAGACTGAACTTCAAAATCTATATGACCAACTCCCTAAACTTTGTATTATTATGGGAGATTAAAATGGCCACAAACCACTCTGGGGTGGTACAACTACTAATACTAAAAGTAAACTATTAGAAGAGTTCTGGTCAGATAATGATTTATGCATATATAATGACGGTTCTAACACATATGTACATCTTGGCACAGGAACTTATTTGGCTCTTGATTTATCAATTACAAACTCACACCTATTGAATGAATTTGAATGGTCAATCCACAATGACCTCTGTGGAAGTGACCATTTTCCAACAATATTATAACCTGTGAACCCATCTGATATTACCCCATCCTCAAGATGGAGCTAAATGGAATTTATATCAAACCCTGTGTTGTAACAGACTTAAACCTGAACTTTTTATGGATGTTCTTGATGCCATAAAAGATTTCTCTGATGAACTCAATAATATAGCTGACGAGTGTATCCCAAAATCCTCTGCAATTCCACACATCCGAAAACCATGGTTCACCAATGAATGCAAACAATCTAGGAAGGCACGGAAGAAGGCTGAGAATTATTTCCGTCGCCATCCTTTGGTCCATAATTTGAATACATTCAAAATTTTAAATGCTAAGGCACGGCGTACCTTCAAGCAATGTAAACGTCAATCCTGGCGAAATTATGTGTCAAAAATAAATTCACGAATGCCGATATCAAAGGTATGGAACATGATCCAGAAAATAAAAGGTAAGGGCTCTCAATCTAGCATTAAGCCTCTTAAAGATGGAGACGAATTATTAACTAGTAAATCTGATATAGCAAATAAACTTTGGCCAAACATTCTTCCTCATCAATTTATATCCCACAATTCCAAAATATAAAATGCAACAGGAAAGGAAAACTATTAATATCAATTCAGATAACCGGGAAGATTATAATGAAATATTTTCTATTCATGAGCTTCATACTGCTCTTGATCAAGCTCATGATACGGCTACAGGGGCTGATAACATACATTATCAGCTCCTGAAACACTTACCGGATTAATGCTTAGAAACATTTTTGATGATATTTGGACTTCTGGACTATTTCCTTCTTCATGGCGCGATGCTATTGTTGTACCCATCCCTATACCTATCCGTGATCATACTGATCCTTCGAATTATCGACCGATCTCATTAACTAGCTGCGTTTGCAAGACCATGGAACGCATGATAAATAATCGAATTGTGTGGTTCTTGGAAACCAATAACCTTATAACAGACATTCAATGTGGTTTCCGTAAAAACAGAAGTACCATCGATAATTTAGTGCGTTTAGAATCCTTTGTAAAAATGCAATTATTCAAAAACAACATGCAGTGTCGATCTTTTTCGACTTAGATTTACACGATTTTCGATTGAGAGGCCGTTTGCCTCAATTTATATCCAACTTTTTAACGGACAGGCAATTTCAAGTTCGCGTGGGTTTTACCCTGTCTGATCATTACAATCAGGATCAGGGTGTCCCACAAGGCAGCATTTTGTCTGCCACGTTTAGTATTAAAATAAATAGTCTTTCAAAGGTTTTAAGTGATTCAATCGGTGGATCCCTTTTCGTGGATGATTTGAATATTTCTTGCCGTGGTAAAAACATGCGAACTATTGAGAGACAATTATAAATTTGTCTCAACAAAATTCATAGATGGTGTTTGGAAAACGGGTTTAAATTTTCGAAATCTAAAACCAAATGTATACATTTTTGTAGCAAATATAAACCCCATAAAGATCCTGAATTATCATTAAATGGCACACCCATCAAAGTTGTCAAGGAAGCTAAATTCCTTGGTCTCATCTTTGATTCGCATTTAACCTTTCTGCCACATATCAAACATCTAAAAGCCAAATGCCTGAAGGCACTCGACTTGTTGAAAGTCGTTTCCAGTTCAAAGTGGGGAGGGGACCAAACCACCCTCCTTCATTTGTATAGATCACTGGTCCGATCGAAACTTGATTACGGCTCTATTGTATATTGTGGGGCCTGTAAAAGCAACCTCAAACTACTTGATTCTATCCATCACCAGGGTCTACGTCTTTGTCTTGGGCCTTTCAGAACCTCTCCCATTGACAGTCTCTACGTTTTGTATCCCTTGTGATGAGAGAACCACGGTCAAGCACGTCCTGCTTGACTGTGTTGAATTCTCCATCATAAAGGATAAATATTTCAATATCAAAACTGTAAAGGAACTTTTTAATAAAGTTAATTATCATTTAATCATTGATTTTTTAAAAGAGATAGATTTGTTAAATGCATTTCGATATATGTTTTGTAAATAGATAAAGTTTTATAATTGATAGTTCAGATTATCAACATATATTGTTAGTGGCTGTATCCTCAAAGGGGGTTGAAGTAGCGTAAAATTATTGTCCTCCTGAGAGGGTACGTAAGACCCAAAACATTCAAAGTAAATTTCAACTAAGTAAAATTTAAACATACCAAATTTCTTAAACGTAGGAATTTTGTTATTTTAATCCTCGGCTAAATTTTCCCACAATCGCCAGTGGCTGAGGGGAGTTGGTGACGAATAAACAGATTGACGTAACTGCAAATGTTCGTCTAATCGCCCATGTCAAATCGGGGTATATGTTGGTCGTCTTTTCAGTCTTACGCCACTTTCAGTTCATTTCTGCCTCAGATACTGACATAGGTTTTCCAGAACACTTAACACATCCAAATTTCGTTGATTCAAACACTGTTGCCTAATCTCATTACCCAAGTGGGAACTGATACTATTCCCGACTTGGAATTTGCACACATTGACAAGTTGTCGGGTATTGACTTCATCATCAACATAACGGTGCCTCAGTCCGGGTATTATGAGGTTTCATGAAGACATATATGGATTGAAATAAATCAGATTCACGGGAACTTGCATTACAGATTTACGACCAATATTGACAACCGACTTGGTACAGTACTAACATACATATTTTTAAATTCACAAATAGGCCGGGTTTTTAAGGGTGACAGAAAAATCACATTATTGTGTCTTTGAAGTGGCAGTGTGAAGGACTATCAAGAGGTTGTAGGTTCGTATCTTGTAGAAGTTTTGTCGGAGGATCATGAATGTGCTGTATGACAAACAGTATTTCTATGATACACGAAGCTGAGCATAAATCTGAAAACTGAGGAAGACACTTGCACATCTGTAGCATCAGTGCATGTGCACCAAGGGATATAGTGGATAGACGATGCGTTGATAAGGAAGGATATAGACGACACGAGTAACGATATGGATCTGGTGAATCTGAACGGATGTCTGCCATCTTCATCTCTCGAAAATCAATCGAAATCAATGGGATGTTCAAATGTATAATTGAATTATTCCATATCAGGAAACTGCAATCTTGACTTAGTCATGCAATAGGAAAATTCTCTTGTGCGAGATATTACAGACAAGGTGATTCAATTTGTCGTCCTAAGCCACGGGTGCAGATTTTTACATTGTGTGGATGACTTTCCCGAAGGTCTTAAACACATGTATGACTTCTGCTTCCATGCCTATTTCGAGAAATCAATATTAACGTCATGTAGGTTCTCCTTCGTACATGAAATCTTGAATCTAGCCAGAGGTGCACAAGCAGGGAAGACACAGCTCAATTTATCATTTATACATTATTACAACGAATGTTTGTTGCGCACCAGTTCTCACAGTTTTGCAACCGTGAATATATTACACTGTGGATGTGTTGTAATGGAGATACAGTCCGTCTCGATGTTGTTGTATTTGTTTTCAGGTTAGGTTTTCATAATATCCGGATTTGATCAGATTGTCGGCCTTAACGTAAACGTTTTACTCAAGGAGTCATCTCATCCTCCACGTTTTAAGGAGCCAATTAAAAATTTATAGAGTCAAGGTATAAAGTAGGGAGCCAAAAGTAACAGTTGTTATTGAAATGTGTTGTTTGACTGCACAAAGTCGTTCCTGTTTAGTTTGTCAAGTCATTCAGTGTCTTTTGTCCTTCGCGTAGTAGGGAAATCTTTTCGATGTCTGTTTGTGACACATTGTATTGGTCTTACATGTATGTTTGGTCTGTTTGGCATGTGTATAAGAAACAACTGTGCTGACACATGTTTGATTTCACTTTAACTTTTTCAAAACTAACATATTGTTCTTCTTACATTAAGGAAGCATTGTCATTGCGTTCTTTATACATATGAATCTGATTGTCAAATGCCACTATCTTATAATTACACATGTTTATTTGTATTGTACGTGGGCCTAAGGCCTTGTTACGAAATCAACTTGAATACTGATACTTTCATGTCCCGAAGATACCCCGCTGATTATAACCTGTAACGTATTAATACCTGTGATGGATTATAACCTGTGACAGAGAATGCTCAACGCTCCATTCCATTCGAGTGCAATGTGATCGATGTTATCTGGTTTAGCAGATTATCTCCACAAGCATGCTGAACCAAACCCATTCCAACTGGAAGCTCAACAAAGTTTTACAAAGTTTTACAAAGGATGGAAGCTAATTGTGTGGTCAATCAAATATACATACTTTTTATAATTTACTAAGTCTAACGTGATGCCAAACCCCTGAAATCTTACTAGACGTAGCAGTATTAAACATTAACCTATTCGGGAGACTCGGGAGAGCAGTGGCAGATGCCTTTTCTGATAAACTGTATAAGTCCTATATTCCGGACACCGTGTATTTTACAGTTTATCAGTTCATCTAGTGTACAACGTTTTTAAGCATCAGGATTTTTCATCAATTTATTTACTGTTTTTCGGAAAATCAATCTTCAACTTTTTATCAGTTGACATCAGGTCGTAATGTGATATTAAAATGCCAGCTCTGTGCGTCAGAGAAAGCTTAACTGACTTTTACAAGTTTTATAAGGCCAAAGGTGTGATTAGAAACACTTTCTCTCAAAATATATTTCTCTGGAGCCCTTCCCTTTATCTAAAATGTATTTAGTACCTTTTAGCGTTAATTGCAGTGTTACAACTTGGTGCAAGTGGGAGTCGATATCACTCAGTCACCCCTCTCCTGTCGGTAGGCCATACTGCCCATGTTGTATATACTGTATATTGTTGCAATTGGATTACGGCGTGTCCTTAACAACTGACATGGTATTGCATGTTTTGTGAGGAGCTAACCCATCGATAATGTATGTGTGTGTGGGTGTGTGTGTGTGTGTGTGTGTCAAGTCAATATTGCCACAAGTTCATTGTAAGTGTCTTTCACAATTAACAACAGAGAGGGCATAATTTCGTTTCTAGTTGATTTAAGAAATAGACATTCAGTGACAAAATTGTATGAAACATTTGCCATTTCAGAACAGGCAGAATCGGCAATCCTTGGAAGTGCCAGTGACGCCATAGGCTCCATGATGTATCACCACAAAAGAATAACACCATCAGTAACACGTATAGAAACAGTAGCATTACAAGAGAATGACATATATTTCACATTGGTATATCAAACTATTCCCCAGCTACGATATTGAGATAATACAAAATGGCGCTGTAAACATACACTTGATATCTGAAAGCGAGCGACTGTTTACCCAGGAGTAGTGCAGACAACATCTTGTGTAATTGTAGGGTTACAATCCCAAGACAGTTCATGAGACTGGTGGTAACTATTTCATATACTGCCCCTAACTGTCCACTTCACAATCACACTCGTAAAGATCCGAGTTAGAATTGGTCTTCAGCAACCAACGCTTGTCGTATAAGGCGACTAACGGGATTAAGTGACCAGACTCGCTGACTTGGTTGATATCCCAATGGCGTAGATCAATGGTCATGATGTCAATAGCTGAATACAGCTTGGGAAATGGTAAGAGCAAACCGAAACAACAAACAAGCTGAATGCGTATTATTTAAACAGAATCTTATTGGCTTAAGCACTGATACAACAAACAACTTGGTTGATGCTTGTCATCTTATCCCAATTACGTAGATCGATGGTCATGATGCCAATCATAAGATGTTCTGGTCCAGACTCCATTGTTTATACACTGCACCCACATAGCTGATAAACTGAAGAGTACGGCGTTAAGCAATCTTTCCTCTATTCAACAAAGCGAGTTCAGCACTACGACCATTGTATGCCTAAGATCGCTTTGTTTACTGGGGACCTGATGGACGTCTTTACATATGTGAAGTTGTTATCCAGTAAGAAAGGTTAGGATCGCTTTGTTTACTGGGGACCTGATGGACGTCTTTACATAAGAGAAGTTGTTATCCAGTAAGAAAGGTTAGGATCGCTTTGTTTACTGGGGACCTGATGGACGTCTTTACATAAAAGAAGTTGTTATCCAGTAAGAAAGGTTAGGATCGCTTTGTTTACTGGGGACCTGATGGACGTCTTTACATAAGAGAAGTTGTTATCCAGTAAGAAAGGTTAGGATCGCTTTGTTTACTGGGGACCTGATGGACGTCTTTACATAAGAGAAGTTGTTATCCAGTAAGAAAGGTTAGGATCGCTTTGTTTACTGGGGACCTGATGGACGTCTTTACATAAGAGAAGTTGTTATCCAGTAAGAAAGGTTAGGATCGCTTTGTTTACTGGGGACCTGATGGACGTCTTTACATAAGAGAAGTTGTTATCCAGTAAGAAAGGTTAAGATCGCTTTGTTTACCGGGGACCTGATGGACGTCTTTACATAAGGGAAGTTGTTATCCAGTAAGAAAGGTTAGGATCGCTTTGTTTACTGGGGACCTGATGGACGTCTTTACATAAGAAGTTGTTATCCAGTAAGAAAGGTTAGGATCGCTTTGTTTACTGGGGACCTGATGGACGTCTTTACATAAGAGAAGTTGTTATCCAGTAAGAAAGGTTAGGATCGCTTTGTTTACTGGGGACCTGATGGACGTCTTTACATAAGAGAAGTTGTTATCCAGTAAGAAAGGTTAGGATCGCTTTGTTTACTGGGGACCTGATGGACGTCTTTACATAAGAGAAGTTGTTATCCAGTAAGAAAGGTTAAGATCGCTTTGTTTACCGGGGACCTGATGGACGTCTTTACATAAGGGAAGTTGTTATCCAGTAAGAAAGGTTAGGATCGCTTTGTTTACTGGGGACCTGATGGACGTCTTTACATAAGAGAAGTTGTTATCCAGTAAGAAAGGTTAGGATCGCTTTGTTTACCGGGGACCTGATGGACATCTTTACATAAGAGAAGTTGTTATCCAGTAAGAAAGGTTAGGATCGCTTTGTTTACCGGGGACCTGATGGACGTCTTTACATAAGAGAAGTTGTTATCCAGTAAGAAAGGTTAGGATCGCTTTGTTTACCGGGGACCTGATGGACGTCTTTACATAAGAGAAGTTGTTATCCAGTAAGAAAGGTTAGGATCGCTTTGTTTACTGGGGACCTGATGGACGTCTTTACATAAGAGAAGTTGTTATCCAGTAAGAAAGGTTAGGATCGCTTTGTTTACTGGGGACCTGATGGACGTCTTTACATAAGAGAAGTTGTTATCCAGTAAGAAAGGTTAGGATCGCTTTGTTTACTGGGGACCTGATGGACGTCTTTACATAAGAGAAGTTGTTATCCAGTAAGAAAGGTTAGGATCGCTTTGTTTACTGGGGACCTGATGGACGTCTTTACATAAGAGAAGTTGTTATCCAGTAAGAAAGGTTAGGATCGCTTTGTTTACTGGCGACCTGATGGACGTCTTTACATAAGAGAAGTTGTTATCCAGTAAGAAAGGTTAGGATCGCTTTGTTTACCGGGGACCTGATGGACATCTTTACATAAGAGAAGTTGTTATCCAGTAAGAAAGGTTAGGATCGCTTTGTTTACTGGGGACCTGATGGACGTCTTTACATAAGAGAAGTTGTTATCCAGTAAGAAAGGTTAGGATCGCTTTGTTTACCGGGGACCTGATGGACGTCTTTACATAAGAGAAGTTGTTATCCAGTAAGAAAGGTTAGGATCGCTTTGTTTACTGGGGACCTGATGGACGTCTTTACATAAGAGAAGTTGTTATCCAGGAAGAAAGGTTAGGATCGCTTTGTTTACTCGGGACCTGATGGACGTCTTTACATAAGAGAAGTTGTTATCCAGTAAGAAAGGTTAGGATCGCTTTGTTTACTGGGGACCTGATGGACGTCTTTACATAAGAAGTTGTTATCCAGTAAGAAAGGTTAAGATCGCTTTGTTTACTGGGGACCTGATGGACGTCTTTACATAAGTGAAGTTGTTATCCAGTAAGAAAGGTTAGGATCGCTTTGTTTACTGGGGACCTGATGGACGTCTTTACATAAGAGAAGTTGTTATCCAGTAAGAAAGGTTAGGATCGCTTTGTTTACTGGGGACCTGATGGACGTCTTTACATAAGAGAAGTTGTTATCCAGTAAGAAAGGTTAGGATCGCTTTGTTTACCGGGGACCTGATGGACGTCTTTACATAAGAGAAGTTGTTATCCAGTAAGAAAGGTTAAGATCGCTTTGTTTACTGGGGACCTGATGGACGTCTTTACATAAGAGAAGTTGTTATCCAGTAAGAAAGGTTAGGATCGCTTTGTTTACTGGGGACCTGATGGGCGTCTTTACATAAGAGAAGTTGTTATCCAGTAAGAAAGGTTAGGATCGCTTTGTTTACTGGGGACCTGATGGACGTCTTTACATAAGTGAAGTTGTTATCCAGTAAGAAAGGTTAGGATCGCTTTGTTTACTGGGGACCTGATGGACGTCTTTACATAAGAGAAGTTGTTATCCAGTAAGAAAGGTTAGGATCGCTTTGTTTACTGGGGACCTGATGGACGTCTTTACATAAGAGAAGTTGTTATCCAGTAAGAAAGGTTAGGATCGCTTTGTTTACCGGGGACCTGATGGACGTCTTTACATAAGAGAAGTTGTTATCCAGTAAGAAAGGTTAGGATCGCTTTGTTTACTGGGGACCTGATGGACGTCTTTACATAAGAGAAGTTGTTATCCAGTAAAACGTTAATGTCGTAATAATCGGATAAGATTATAAGAAAGCAGCAAGGACTAAGGTTTAAATTCCCACCTCAGAAACTATGAACACACAATGCTTCTTAGAAAGTGGTCAGATGTAACGCATGTTATATTTGGGATTACACTTTCTTAGTACAGTACAGATTCTGGTACGTGTATTAGGTTGGGTCCCATCCGCTGTCATAAAGATCAGTCATATGCCACAGTCAAATATATTCAATAGCCACATACTAAAGGCATTTGCTACGGTCATATACCACGGGTACATAGTATAGTGGGCAACCGTGAAGAGCCACCTCCTCGTGGTGGGTGCTGGGTAACGCTAAGAGCTCTTCACCTCCCCATGTGGACCCGGGGTATATTTGGTCCACCAACCCGTTTGCCGTGGGTTGCGCCCCTGTGTCGGTGGAAGACGGGATTCTGGTGGTTGAGGGCAATGGGATCCTGGAACCGTGTTCCTTTTGCCCAACACACCACAAATGTGAAAAAACCGTTTCATACTTGGATGCCAAAAAACTGCTAAATCAAGCCTCTTCTCCATCAAACAGTACCTACGCTGCGGCAGTTACTCGCTCTGTGGCAGTGTCCTCTACTGCGTGTCAGACTAACTTGACTTTGGACAAGTCAGAGAAACCTAGTTCGTCAGCTTCAACCATTAAACCTACTGCCACAGTCACTCAATCTACGTCTGGTTCTCAGACTGTTAAAACTGAATCCGAGACACCATCGGAAGAAGAAAGGAAAAGGGATTACTAGGGATAAACTACCTGTTGTTCATTCACCCCAGAAGTGAAAACTCATTTGGACCTTTAGATACGGAGGTTACTCCGTCCTCACAGGACAGGCGGAGGAGCTTATCCTCCTCGTATTCACGAGAGAGATCACCAATTGGGGCGCCATGAGTCAATTGTCTACTTTAAAGCTATGGAATTGCAGAGGACTAAGAAATAACTTCAGTGAGATACAATTACTGATACAAGATATTCAGCCGTCAGCAATCTGTCTCCAAGAGACATATTTAAAACCTACAGATAACTTTACTTTGAGACTATCATTCCTTTTCTCCTCCGGAATATAAAGCAACTGGAGGTGCTTCTTTCTTAGTACGGCAGGGTATAATACATAGCCCTGTCCCCCTTAAATACCAATCTTCAGACTGTAGCTGTTCGACTGACCCTGCACATTGCTTTGACTCTGTGCAGCTTATATATCCCTCCATCTTCTGATGTCCGTCTGTCGGATCTTCAGAATCTGTATGATCATCTTCCAAAGCCATGTGTCATCATGGGCGATCTGAATGGATACAACCCGCTTTGGGGAAGTGTCCATACCAACAATAAAGGTAAAATCCTCGAGGAATTTATATCAGATAATAATCTCTGTATTTTCAATGATGATTCAGCTACTTATTTACATCCAGCTACAGGAACATATTCTTCCCTGAATCTGTCACTCACCGATTCAACCTTATATAATGAATTTGAATGGATGGTTCATGATGACCTGTGCGGGAGTGATCACTTCCCTACCATTCTCAAAACAATCAACCGTGGTGATGATCCACCTTTATCGAGAAGGAACTTCGCCAGGGCTGATTGGTCATTATATAAGACATTATGTGATGATCACTTAAAACATGATGTTTTTGCGAACAGCGAAGATCCTATACAGCTGTTTTCTGATATACTCAATGACATTGCTGACCAAACTATCCCCAAGTCCTCTACAATTACACATATTCGTAAACCATGGTTTACTAATGAGTGTAAACAGGCCAGAAAGAGTAGGAAGAGAGCTGAACAGTTTTTTCGCAAACATCCTACAGTCCATAAATTAGACAAATTAAAAATTTAAATGCCAAGGCTCGACGCGCCTTTAAACAGAATAAGCGTCAGTCTTGGAGGAACAATGTTTCCAAAATAAATTCACATGCAGACAGACAGACAGACAGACAGGTTTTATTCAGTAATGTAGGCGCAGTGGCCCATAGTACAGTTGAATTTTCATTTTAACAAATATTGGTCACGTGACACGAAATTATGGTTTTACATGTGATTTAAGGATGGACATCAAATGTTTTATGAAAATGGCAGCTGATTTAATAGTGTCATCGTTATTAGAATTAAGTATTTTATATATCGTTTGTGGGGCATCATTAAAGCATTTTAGATACTTCTTTCGGCCAGCAGAGAATGCCTCACAGTCTAATAATAAGTGACGTTCGTCTTCAGTTTTACCAGAAGAACAATGAGAACATGATAAATCTTCCAATGTATTTTTATCTTTTCTATAACGCTGTATTTTTAAGGCATGTAGAGAGATTCTAAATTTACAAAAATTTCTTAAAAGGGACTTATCATTAAGGACCCTAATATATTTTTCAGGTCCGAACATCGATTTACATTGTGAATAATGACTTAGAAAACTCGATGAATTTACTGATGCGTGCCAATTCTGAATATATATATCTTTTATTCGTTGCTTAAAAGTTAACAAAAACATTTTTATATCACCAACATCTTGCTTAAACCAAACATAAGAAAACCCGCTTGAAAATAACACATTTCGGACACCAGAAGCCCAAGAATACTTTCCACGTTTGTCTAGGGATAATAATAATTGATAGCTTTGATAGGGGGTAGCGATAATCAGGCATTCTTATAAGTTTAATCCAGTATCTGATAGCTCTCATTTGACTCTCAATATGCATGCTATAGCGGCCTGTCCAAGGTGTGGAACATGGTCCTAAGAATAAAGGACAAAGGTTCTGCAGTTGTGTTTAAATAAAGTAAATAAATTGTGTCTTGAAAATGGCTTTATATTTCAAATTTTTAAAGTAAAAAACTAATTGTATACACTTTTGTAGGATATATAAGCCTGATAAGGACCCAGAACTATTTTACATGGCATTCCCATTAAAGGTGTCAAGGAGGCCAAGTTCTTGGGTCTGATTTTCGACTCCCATTTAACTTTCCTTCCGCATATCAAATCCCTAAAAACTAAATGCCTGAAGGCACTCGATTTATTTAAAGTCGTGTCTAATTCGAAGTGGGGAGGGGATCAAGCTACTCTCCTACACCTATACAGGTCACTTGTCCGCTCGAAGCTTGATTATGGCTCCATTGTATATGATGGACCCTGCAAAAGCAACCTAAAACTATTAAATTCAGTTCACCATCAAGGTCTGAGACTTTGTCTTGGGTCCTTCAGAGCTTCTCCCGCTGAAAGTCTTTACGTCGAGGCCGATGAGCCTTCTCTTAACCAACGCCAAATATAACTATCTTTACAATATATTACACAATTATATTCTAACGAGTCTAATCCTGCATTTAACTGCATCTTTAACCCTCTTTATGAGGATTTGTATAACAAAACGTCTTCTCTTGTTCCGCCTCTTTGGCTCAGAATTAAGCCATTTATTGCTGCTTTGAGCTGGAAAATATAGCTCCTTCCCGTTTGCTTTCTTCTCCTCCTTGGCAATTGGTTAGGCCACAAGTCGACCTAACATTAACCACATTTAAAAAATCAGAAACAAATGAATTACAGTATAAACAAGAATTTAGTCAATTACGAAATAAATATAATACATATAAATCCTTATTTACAGATGGGTCCAAGGATGGTGGCGCAGTTGCTTGTGCCACTGTCATTGGATCCAGAACAATATCTTCCCGATTACTGGATAATAGCTCTACTTTTACAACAGAAGCTTACGCCATACTAACAGCTCTTAAATATAATAATAGACACCCCAAATATAAACAATACATAATCTTTTCTGACTCTCTTTCTTGCCTTCAGGCTATTAACAATCTTTCTTATAAACATCCACTGATACTAGAAATTATTGAATTGTATAATGAGCTTGCTGCTGGCCAATGCGACATCATCTTTTGTTGGTTACCCAGTCACGTTGGCATTTCTGGGAATACAATGGCTGATCTTGCTGCTAAGGCAGCACTCAACAAATCTGTGACACCACTTCTTATTCCATACTCTGATTACAAAGCTAGCATTAGACCTTACATCCATAATCTGATGCAGAAAAAGTGGGACACCCGAGTAGGTATCAATAAATTACATGCAATAAAACCTTATGTTGGTTACACCTATTTGGGTCCAGATTTGAAGAGGTCATTATGCGACGATGTCGCATTGGCCATACGCGTTATACTCACAAATAATTGTTAAAAGGTGAAGATCCTCCGTTTTGTATCCCTTGTGATGAGAGAGTCACAGTCAAGCATCTCCTGCTTGACTGTGTTGAATTCTCCATCATAAGGGATAAATATTTCAATGTTAAAACTGTTAAGGATCTTTTTAATGCTGTTCATTTTCATTTCATTTTTGTTTTTTTAAAAGAAATTGATTTAATTAATGAATTTTGATTAATATGTTCTGTAGATAGATGCATTTTAATGATATGTAGTTTAAATTAGTAACTTAGATTGTCAGTGGCTGCACCCTCAAAGGGGGTTAAAGTACTGTAAAATTATCGTCCTCCTGAGAGAGTACGTAAGTCCCAAAACTTTCAAAGTAGATTTAAACATACTACCATTTTAATCGTAGAATATATGTTCGTTTAATTTGTGGCTAGATTATTTAAAACTGCTAGTGGCTGAAGGGATGGTGTAAATCCAGCTAGGGTCCATGCAGGAAGCAAATGTACTGTAAGTCCCCATGGTCCCTAGTATGGTGATCTACCTTCAGTTATTGGCAATCTATAGCCTGTTTTTACCTTGTATTGTCATCTATAGTTAAACCGTTTTACATTTAATTACTAGTTTTATATTCTAATCAGTGATAATCTAGTTATTTTACTGTCCTTCGTTGACAGGTTTTTATCATTTACAATTACTTACTATGTATAAAATTAATTGTTCTCGTCACGATATGGATGAAATATTGCCAATGTGACGATAAATTTTAACTCACTCACTCACTCATGGCGTCACGCTTTACGGAAACTTTGACAATTTCTTATGAATATCATTGCATATTATCTGTTTTTAATTTTCTATATCTTGCTACGATAATCTTTCCATGCATATTCTAAAGGCAATGGGCCATTGCAAGCAACGAATAGGCTGCTGGATGTCAGAAAATTTCAGGAAATGCTACGCAGTGTAAACTCGGAATGTTTCTTTGTTTACATTTCAAACAAGCACAATCTTTCTAGCACAGCATTCGTTTTCACACCAAATATCTTTCGCTTCATTTCATCTAGACAGTTGGTATTGATGACAAATCATATACATATTTTCCATTTCAATGTCAAATATGTTCTCGTCACGATATGGCTGCAGAAGGAGAAACTGGTTGTTCCATCAACATCAACAAAGGCTGGAGATCGTGCCTTCTCAGTTGCAGCTCCCGCCCTGTGGAACGCGGTCCCCCTTGACATCAGGAACAGTGACTCTCTCCCAAGTTTTAAGAGAAAACTCAAAACATTTCTTTTCTCATCTAGTGATTGAACTGTAACGTGTAAAGCACCATTGAGCAGCTGCATATAGCTGGAAATAGGGGCTATACAAAGCAATTATTATTAAAATTATGATTATTATAAAATGTATGGGGAATTCAGTGATGCATTTGTCGCAGCTGAATATGAAATATACGTGATATAATATGCGTCTCAATACCGACCTTCGCGAAACATCATTTTGTAAACACTTTCCAATATAGCGGAAAGCGCACTTCGGCGTTCGTGTAAGTGTATTTTCGAAAACATCCCAACCAATTCTAAGTTCATCGGCAACGTTTCAGAATAGTCATTAGTGATTTCAGGGAAACCTGATATCAGTGATCATTAATATGCAATTTTGAAATTCAATACTCCCAGTAATTATCCAATTTTCACATTTCAAAACATACAGCAAATAACGCTGTAAATCGCGATTTCGTATTGTGTTAAACATGGCGACATATACGATGAAGCCTATTTTGAAACGTCTTTTACAGCACTTGAGCTTTGTCTGAGATAATAGTTGATGGTATCAAGGAACAGGGAATTTCCCGCAGAATTAAAAACTATGAATTCCTTAGGTTTTCTTTGTGGTCTAATGTTCATGAATGCTGCATTACGCTGGACAATAAACGCCATGTTGTCGCCATGCAGCTAGGTGTAGAACTAATACTAATGGTAACGTTAGTGAGCTAATGTACCCCCTCCCCTTCCGTTAAGTTAACGTGGCTTAACGGACCGTTAAAGTTTAACGGCTCTTTGAGCAACAGGCTTTCGCTCTCTTAACGTTAACGGTCGGTTAAAGACTAGTTAACGGTCCGTTAAACTTTAACAGGCTTTTGAACAACCGGGCCCTGGGGAATAGATATTATACCTTCCCAAGTTTGAAACAGATTATCAACAGGATAGTTCTTACTCTGCTTGACAAATGGAGTATACACTCATGTTGGAGGTGGCTAAAATGGTTATAAAACCGGAAGTGTTTGATAACGATAGAAAAAAATGTGTTTATGACCTAAAGATTGCTGTGTTCCAACAAATGGTTTCAGCTCAATAAGGTTTCGGCGACATTGTAACTTGTTGTCATGTCCATTTTGTAAGTGGATACGTTCTTGTGTCCAACTGTAATAATGACAAGGGCACTGTAAAGATGTACTCCAGATAAGGCGTAGAGATAACGACGTCAAAGTTCCCGTTATGGATCCCGTTATGTGCGTATACTGTAACCATGGATGAGGTTCATTGTCGACACGGAATTGTCTAATTGCTGCTCGTTTCAGATGATAATCAAGACGTAAGATGTGTTATATTTGGGATAACACCATATCAGTGAAGTACAAATTCTAGTGGTTGAGTCCCTTCCGGAAATCGAGTCCACACTCTCGGAGTGAGGCAGATGTGACGTGGTCAAAGGTGACATGTCTTCCCCCACTGTTTTGGGAACACAAGATGACAGCAGTCGGGTCACTGTGACCTGTGACCTTAACATAGTCCAGTGATATGTCAGAATGACCAAACTACAATAAGATTGTGCTAATCAAACCCAGTAAGTATTTCAGATAGCGTCATATTGTTCACGCCAAGTCAATACTTAATCAACCAGTCTGTCGTGTTTTACCTGGAATATTGCCAACTGTAACGCACAACAACTATTTAATCGTTCGTCTTCATTCAGAAGCCATCAACACTTTCATGTTGTGCGAGAGAAAGGCAGATATCACTTGTATCCGTTGATTGCAGTGAACTGGCAAAACCTGTGTCAGATAAGTTGGACAGTGGTAAGTTACATTTATTAACGAACAAGTGTTTCGGCCAAATTTTCAGGATTGTTTTCCAAAGGACGAGGAACACTGACTGGACAATTCTTCTTGACACCCTGTGGTAGTATTCATGCATCGCTTTATTGCTGCTTTCATGCTTTTTGAGAAACATATATCACTAAATTTACCAGAAAGGTTTATAATTTGTTTAACTAGCTTTGACTTGCTGGGCCAGTTTATACGCGGAAAGCGTCCCTTCATCGTGACAAATCTGTATTTAGTTCCTAATCCAACATTGCCTTGATCACATTTCTCTGCACCTCCAGTGCCCTCGTGGGTTTCAGCAAAGTGGTAAACATCTGAAGTATGCATTACCCACATGGAGTTGACATGCCCCGATAAACTGAAACACTGTTCAAAGCGGCATCACAGCCAGGTTTCCACGTGTGTTTGATGCAAGACAATTTTTGGGGTTAATGGATACTGTGTGTGTCTGATCAATAAAAAATCGGTTACAGTAGCGCTAAATGTAAACCTCTAAACACAACATGCACAGACTTAGACTTAGACACAGATTTAAGCACTGACTTAGTAATGTCTCTGTGACCAGACCATGGAACGCCTCCCGGAAGGTGGTAAACAAATGGTTTGGGAAATTCCATATCAGTGCAGTGCAGACACCGAAACTAACTCAGTATCCATTATAGCAGATACTCTCGACAGGTATGCCTAACCAGAACTTATTCCAACTGGAATGATCTCATCAAATGATTTCCAAAGAATGGAAGCTAATTGTGTGGTATCAAATATAAATATTTTTTATATAATGTAATAATTCCAACGTGATGCCAAACCCCTGTAATCTTACTAGACGTAGCAGTATTAAACATTAACCTACTCGGGAGACTCGGGAGAGCAGTGACAGATGCCTTTTCTGATAAGCTGTATGACACCGTGTAGTTTACAGTTTATCAGTTCATCTAGTGTACAACTTTTTTAAGCATCAGGATTTTTCATCAATTTATTTACAGTTTTTCGGAAAATCAATCTTCAACTTTTTATCAGTTGACATCAGGTCGTAAAGTGATATTAAAAAGTCAGCTCTGTGCGTCAGAGAAAACTTAACTGACTTTTACAAGTTTTATAAGGCCAAAGGTGTGATTAGAAACACTTTCTCTCAAAATATATTTCTCTGGAGCCCTTCCCTTTATCTATAATGTGTTTAGTACCTTTTAGCGTTAATTGCAGTGTTACAACTTGGTGCAAGTGGGAGTCGATATCACTCAGTCACCCCTCTCCTGTCGGTAGGCCACACTGCCCACGTTGTACATGTATATAGCATAGGCCGATGCAGACACAAAATGACGCTCACTCGCTCACTCACTCACTCCAGATTCGATACTAGCCTTACAGACCGTAGGCATATAGCTGGACCATTGCTGATTGTTGTGAACCAACGAACACACTATTGCACTTTTGCCAGTTTCCAACAAAGCGGTTTTAGCGTTACGACTGCCGTATGTAAAAGTATGGACGTTAAGGTCATCATAGCGTTAGTAACGGCAGAGTCACATTGGGGCATAGTTTTTCACCGTTGAGGGAAAATAAGATATTTTACTAAACCTCTTTGACGGACCGATGAAACTCAAGGGTCATTTTTAGTTCTTATAACAATGAAAAATACAAAAGAAAAATACAAACCAATTTCTACAATATGCTGTCATTTTAGATGAACAATTTCACCATTCACATAATACACCAAAACTATATTGAAACATCTCTTCAAACACCAGTGATGCTGCATTTACATTGTAATATAGTTCTTTAACAGCACACTCAACCATATTCAAGCTTTCTGAAGCAAGTGGTTTGAATGTGCACAGTTGTCCTCAATACAATTTAACGTCCGTCCCAGCTGCGGACTCTCAATCTGTGTAAACTGCCAAAGTGTCATAAGGTCAATAGCCACTTCTTCAGAATCCCATTCGAAGGTAATAAACGTGATCATGGCTTGTATGTATCAAATACTACTACGGATCTACAATTCATGTCTCGCCAAATGTAGCAAATCTGGCAATGATTGAAACCTTTTTATCAGTAACGCGCGACAGATGATTCTCCCTTAGAGAGAGAAGAGCGCACATTCCACTGTGTATCTTAAGGGAACACAACAGAAAACTTCCAGACATAATAGAACGTAACCCAACAGTACAACTCATGGCTTCTATTCAGTCACAAATGCCGGTCTCTTCAGAACATGCACCTTTGGGAACATTTTGAGTTATTATATAACAGAGCTGACTGGAATTTTTCTCGAGCGTCTGAAGGTATATCGATGATCTGATATCGTTCAATAACCATCAAATTGCCAATTCCCTTTCATTGATTTAAAGAACGAGGCGCTAGAAATAAAAGAGCCCAGCGAGACCGCCTCATTGGTTTCAGATTTAGATCTAGCCATGTTGAACAGTATTCCAGCATCTCCAGTCTTGAAACTGGTGTCATCATTTCACAACTTTTGAGGTACAGTAGAACCTACTCTTTATACGGAGATTTAAAGAGTGTCGTACAACGTTTGTTTTAAGAGTTCTTTGATCAAGCTCACAAGGCCTCAGTCAAGTCAACACGGCAACCTTCCTACTTGTTAACGTCATACGACCACCACTCTACGTTATTAACGTCCTACGACCACCTCCCTACGTTATTAACGTCATACGACCACCTCCCTAAGTTATTAACGTCCTACGACCACTCCCTACGTTATTAACGTCATACGCCCACCTCCCTACGTTATTAACGTCATACGACCACTCCCTACATTATTAACGTCATACGCTCACTCCCTACGTTATTTACGTCATACAAACACCTCCCTACGTTATTAACGTCATACGCCCACCTCCCTACGTTATTATAGTCATACGACCACTCCCTACGTTATTAACGTCATACACCCACCTCCCCACGTTATTAACGTCATACGACCACTCCCTACGTTATTAACGTCATACGCCCACCTCCCTACGTTATTAACGTCATACGACCACTCCCTACGTTATTAACGTCATACGCCCACCTCCCTACGTTATTAACGTCATACGACGACTCCCTACGTTATTAACGTCATACGCCCACCTCCCTACGTTATTAACGCCATACGACCACTCCCTACGTTATTAACGTCATACGCCCACCTCCTTTCGTTATTAACGTCATACGACCACTCCCTACGTTATTAACGTCATACAAACACCTCCCCACGCTATTAACGTCATACGACCACTCCCCACGTTATTAACGTCATACGCCCACCTCCTTTTGTTATTAACGTCATACGACCACTTTCCTACTTGTTAACGTCATACGACCATTGTTATCAGCACAACAGAATGAGTCAATCTTGTGCCATATTTGCTTCTTTGAAGAAACTACAGCATTTGGTTCAGTTTGAATTTAGATTTGCCATTCATCTGACTTCCTATTTATCCAGATAGTAAGGTATAGTGAGTGTTTCATATTTCAAATTTAGGATTCCGCTTGCTAAGTGAATACAGATTCTGGTACTCTTATTAGGTTTCTAATCCTTATACTCAGAGTCATAGAGAATACTACAGGAGGTCCCATTACATACGAATTACACGAAACGAGTGTCCTTCCTATGGTATCTGACCGAGCGAAAGTGTAGTTTTACGCCGCACTCAGCAATATTCCAGCTATATGGCGGCGGTCTGTAAATAATCGAGTCTGGACCATACAAGCCAGTGATCAACAGCATGAGTATCGATCTGCGGAATTAGGAACCGATGACATGTGTCAACCAAGTCAGCGCGCCTCACCATCCGATCCCGTTAGTAGATGTTTTAGATACATGTGTCCTGAGTGAGTGAGTGAGTGAGTGAATGAGTTATAGTGAGTGAGTAAATATTTAAACAGTTAAACTATTCGATCCGACGATCCAGTGATCCCTGCCGACTGATCCAACTGACCACAGGGCTACCTGTGGAAGCGGGGTAGTGGGGTGCGTTAATATGACTACAAAATAACAAAAATACCCAGTGTGCCTGTATAAAAGAAAGTGTGACATTATCACTTTATAACTATTCCCGAGAACTTGACAAGCGGTAGCAGCCGATGTTCAGCCTTCATAATGACGCCAAAGGTGAGATCTGTCTTCGGCAACCCATGCCTGCCGTAAGAGGCGACTAACGGGATTGAGTGATCAGGCTCGCTGACTTGGTTGACACAAGCATCGTATCCCAATTGTGTATTGATGTGTCATGATCACTGGATTGTCTCATCCAAATTCGATTGTTTACAGACCTCCGCCATATAACTGGAATATTGCTGGTGGGCCAGAGGAAATTTTTTCACAGATACAAATGATCATTCTGAACCCCAAACCTTCGTTGTTATTTTTCTGAAGACATCTGTCTGCATCATTCACTTATGTGTTCTCCCAGCCAGATAATATTTTCGTTTATTGTGCCCATGTCATTTTTAATCTGAAATATCATAGGCGCCAGGCAGCAACACAATTTCTTATATTCTGGACAGACCAAGTCAAAACACCAAGCCGTGGTCTTACCGTCGAACAGGTTAAGAATAACGGAATATATAGAATTTAAATGAAAGGTAGTGATATGTATTTCGACCACGTGTTATATCGCAAAAATACCTGAGCCATGGACAATGCAGGATCTGGAGAGGCGACACATCCTTTCAGTCTGACCTCACTCTAATACAATTATAAGTTTCTCCGCGCGCACACATGAGCATAAAACTTAATTTGTTTCCGGGGCCTGGCTGCAATGGTTAATGTCTCGGACTTTCAACACCATGTTTATTGCATCGTGTTGTGACAAAGATGAGCCCTGGCTTTCATCAAATTGCTGAGTAACACAGTTAAATCACCGGCATGCCATGCCTGCATCCTTGAAATACATGTGGACAGATTTAAATGATCATCATATGTTTCCATTCAGACATAACATGCACATATATGTATACAGTGCTCACATTTAAGTCCCACGCGAGTATTCTCATTAAAAGCAGGAAAAACACACTTACTCCCGGACTGTTCTTCATACTCTGTGACATCCAAGAATCACAGTTTAAATATTATTTATATTTGACTTTGTAGAATGTTATATAAATGGAGCAAAATATTCTTCAAGGTTCTGACATACATGGATCGCTAGACTTATCCCTACATTTTGTATCCCTACACGTGTATAGCGACAGTTGTATGTTTGTAGTTGTATCCAGAAATTATTTCTACGTTTGTACCTTATACTTGTACATATCTGTACATTTATATTTCCACACTTGTATCTCAATAATTTTATACACGCCTTCATCTGTATACACTAGAATAGTATATATACTCTTATGTATCCATACTTGTATAGGTAGCCACAGTTGTATCACTACCCTGTGTCTGTATATTCATAATCACTCTTGAAAGTATACGTTTATATCTACACTTGTATCCGTATGCTTGTTCTCACACGTATATCTGCATATTTTCCTCCACATCTGTGTTAAAACTTGAATCTGCATATTTCTATTCACCCTTGTATCTGTATATTTGTATTCACACTTGTATCTGTATGTTTGCATTCACACTTGAATCTGCATATTTGCATTTACACTTGAATCTGTATATTTGCATTCACAGTTCTATCTGTATATTTGCATTCACACTTGTATCTGTATATTTGTATTCACCCTTGTATCTGTATATTTGTATTCACACTTGTATCTGTATGTTTGCATTCACATTTGAATCTGTATATTTGCATTCACACTTGAATCTGTATATTTGCATTCACAGTTGTATCTGTATATTTGCATTCATACTTGTATCTGTATATTTGTATTCACCCTTGTATCTGTATATTTATATTCACACTTGTATCTGTATGTTTGCGTTTACAGTTGTATCTGTATATTTGTATTCACCCTTGTATCTGTATATTTGTATTCACGCTTGTATCTGTATATTTGTATTCACACTTGTATCTGTATATTTGCATTCACACTTGTATCTGTATATTTGCATTCACACTTGTATCTGTATATTTGCATTCACACTTGTATCTGTATATTTGTATTCACGCTTGTATCTGTATATTTGTATTCACACTTGTATCTGTATATTTGCATTCACACTTGAATCTGTATATTTGCATTCACAGTTGTATCTGTATGTTTGCATTCACACTTGTATCTGTATATTTGTATTCACACTTGTATCTGTATATTTGCATTCACACTTGTATCTGTATATTTGCATTCACACTTGTATCTTGTCTTGTACAACTGAGCTCTATTCTTGTCTGCTGTGTTTGCTTTTGTACACTTGTGTCTTTACACTTTCGCCCACAGGTATCTCTACTTGAAACTCAGCCTTAGTAATGACATAGTTTTGTCTGTTAACACAACACCCTTCATACAGAGAAAATATGATCTTCACATTTCTATTTTCTGAAACAACCATCACTCATATAAATCCATTAAACCAGGTTTTCTTAGGCAAATTTGGATAAATGAGAAATATACATTTTGCGTGATATCCATTAAAAATGTATTTATCTTAATTTTCTTGATATCGTCATGGTAACTTTATCTTTATATTATACCGATTTGTCGTAAATTTCTGTTTTCTGTGGATGTTGCAACAATCATCACTCATATAAACCAATTATGGAGGGGTTTCTTTTAGAAAAAAGAACACTTTGTGTGAAATCTTTTCAAAACATAACTGTTATATTTTCCGATTATCGTCATGGTAACTTTATCTTTAGATTGTACCAGCTTGACGTCGTAAGCACGTACGTCCATACACTTCTGTAATCAGGTGGAACTATTCTCAGAGTAGACTATAACTCGGGGAGAAGACAACAGGAACTGCCAGCAGCGATCTTGTGAATCTCGGAAAGAGATGTCGAGAAGCTTTAAAGCACTTCTTGACATACTCACGACACTTCCATGCGAGAAATAACGAGATTCCGTTGACAGATGACAATGTAAAATGTCGACATCTCAATGCACAGTTACGTGAGATGTATATTTATAGTGACATGTGTCAATGTATGTGATAGCTCTTGTGGCATGACGTGTTGAACACTTGTGCTGTTTCAACCTTATCGCAGAGACCGCCTCAGTGGTGTAGTGGTTAGAGCGTCCGCCCGGAGAGCCATTTGTTGGAACACTGCAATCTTTAGGTCATAAACACAATTTTTTCTATCGTTATCCAACACTTCCGGTTTCATAACTATTTTAGCCACCTCCAAAATGACTGTATACTCCATTTGTTAAGCAGAGTAAGAACAACCCTGTTGATAATCTGTTTCAAAATTAGGAAAGAATAATATCTATGCCTCAGGGCCCGGTTGTTCAAAAACCTGTTCAATTTTAACGGACCGTTAAGACCGCCTCCGTGGTGTAGTGGTTAGAGTGTCCTCCCGGAGAGCGGAAGGTCGTGGGTTCGATCCCCGGCCGTGTCATACCAAACGACGTTAAAATATGGTACTTGTTGGTCCCTGCCTGGCGCTCGGTATTAATGGGTACAACAAGGACTGGTCGGCTCGGAGTCAGTATAATGTGTCTGAGTGGGGTATTCATGCTTCACTGCGGCATGGTATCTCAGTGGGCTAGCACTATAAAACCAGCTTCAGTCTGGGCTAGTACAAGCAGTCGCACATACACATACACACACATGCACGTCGTCATATGAGCGAAATATTCCTAAGCACGACGTAAAACCCAATTTCACCTCACCTTACGTCACCTTATCTCAGATGATATACGACAAAGAACGTGCGAAATTTCAAACTCAGTAATATGGCCCTGCATCTGTCATGTCGTTAGGTTGGGCCCTGCATGAAATACTTGTAGGAAATGGATCACGCAAAACATGCGAGCATCTCTGAAATAAATTCTACAGTGAACGCGGAACCTCTTCAGGCAGCTGATTCTACGCACTGGCCGTGTTTCGTTAGAGAATCCGGTATGATTTAAGTTCCCCTATCTTTTTTGCAAAGTGAGTGTTGATAAATACACTGATATTAACGCCACGACTCGAGTCCACTTGATGAATGTATTTAGACGAGAATATTGTGTGAGAATCTCGCGAGACACTGGCTGCATGCCGGTAAAAACAACAAACGAACCAAGGTTGTTACGATCGTGTATTAGCTGACACCTCACTTGGACGTTTAATGTCTGTCTGTAAATAGTCATGTCTTGACCCAGACAATCCCATGACATGTGTACGTAATTAGGATACAATGACATCCATCAACCAAGTCAGCGAGCCAGGTTCTCAGATCCCTTTAATCACCTCTTCCGACAAACGTGTTTCAGATGACCAATTCCATAATCACGACGTGTCTACGATCTCTATTACAACACATTGTATACGGGATGTGACTATTGAGTCCATCAGTCTATCAGTCCATCACTTACAACACATAATCTCTGGATCTGGGGCATGTAAAATAGTAGACAATCTTTTAGGCGTTGGGCTTTTTAAAAAGAAATACATGCCATTGTAAGGCCAGATTATTGTAATAAGAAATTATGATACCATTGCCTGATGCAATACAATATTTGATAGGCGATTGTTGTCACCGTTCCATTACATTTTTAAGATAAACAGCTTTTTCATATTGGTTAAGCACATCCCCATTCAAACTTTCCGGGTATTTGTACAATCGACTGAGACTGAAATGTAGATACTGCCCCACCCATGCGGAAAATCGCAAATGTCCGTTTCGAAGTGGAGTCTGATTGACTGACAAAAAAACCCTGTTTATCAGGAGTATTGGTCAACACCACGTTGGAGACAGACAGTTACAGTAAGCTATAACGAACTCAAGGGAACCACTATTAAAATGAAAAAAAGAAAGAAAGGAAAACTAAAAATAAAGTCCGCAAGTGCGTTAAAAGCGCGATCGTTTTTCACGTCCGTAAAATATATGCAGTCTGAACGAGCTAAATAATAACTACTATACAGTTCGGAAGATTGGCAATGAGAAGAACGCGTTACTTGGGTGAAAGTAGGCGTGGGATGAGATCGAAAACTGATTGTCATATTATCCTTATTGTTCAAGAATCGTGCAATCTGATTGTTTGCTAGCTGTTGGATACCAGGGAGCCTGGTGGTCATGGTGTTATCCTGTTAATTATTTAGGAATTGAAGCATCTGAACAAAGTCAAGGCATTTAATCAAGATGTATGATCCAAACTATAAATTAAAATGTTGTAATATCGATTGAATCAATCCGCGTATGAAGTGAAGCACTTCCTCGAGTTTTTTTTGACGTCATATACACTGACAATTTCATCGTGATTTTTTATCGGCCGATTAGACCGCTTTCACCAATATTACAGAAACTTCACGACAAAGGACGCCCGAAATGGCTTCACTTATTTGACATGCAGCTATCCTACAATTCGCTTACTTAACCTTTCCTGTTACCATTTATGTAGAAAAGTTACAAGCTTAGAATAATGCCGAATTCACCGATTCACATTTGTAATGAAATATTGAAGTCTGAAATTGTTTTATGAAGACATCTTAAATGAAAATAGTGATTTATCATCTAAAACAGTGTTCCACAGTAGATATCCCTTGTGTGAGATCAGACGTTATCTCCTAGGAGATATCGTTTTGACAGTAGATTTTGTACAATGCCCTGACAATGAACTTGTCATGAACTTGTCACAATGTTATGACATCGCTGCACTGCAAATCTAATGGCAGTACTGTGTTCAGAGATGTACATTTTTTCATTGAAAACTAATGAAGAGTGATTTTTGATGATAAATAGAATCTCACACTCGTGTCTTCTGATATCAAATATATCAACACTCGTTGATAAAAGAAAAAATATCTTTACTTTATCAACTCGTGGTGATATATTTGATATCAAAAGACACTCGGGTGAGATTCTCTATATCTTGAATTGAAGATTTCTTGAAACGAATGAAAAAATATATCGGATAGAGATATTCTGCAATAAAGTTTATGACATCGTGAAATGAATAAAAGATAGGAAGAAGCATATTAATGATATCTTAATAAGAAAGAATTGATTATATCTTTAACTGCATTAATGATATTACAATATGATTTAAGGATATGTACAAATTCATGATTTTAATGATATCTGTAATTCAGTTCCTGACATCTTGCAGTTAAATACAGATATCGTTAATTAATTGAAGATATCGTGCATTGAATTGGACATATCTTGATATGTATTAAAGGTATCTAAAATAGAAATAATGTACTGAGAAATTACTGATATCTTAAATTGAAATTCTGATAAAAAGCCAACAGCCTTCAGGTAAAGTGAGTGAGTGAGTTAATATTTAACGTCACATCGGCAATATTTCAGCCATATCGTGACGAGAATATATGCTTCAGGTAAAGAAATGCGATGAAAACATTAAAATCCACCTGGCAAATCAACGTGAACTTTTGCGAAATAAATGTGTAGCACCTGTCGTATGTGAAGGTCGACATCATTGTGGAAGTTGCCAAAGAAAAAAATGCAGCAAACAGTACGCACGTTGATAACGAGCGGAAGTTGTCAGACGACCAAACTATTATTGGCATCGGGCAATAAAAACTAGCCATTATGATAGTTCCCAACAGGAAGTAGGAAGTGTAAGGTCTACAGCAGCTAAAGTCGGTGAAAGTCGCTGTGGGATGAGATCGTAAACAGGATGTCATAATGGTTCAAGAATCGCGCAATCTGATTGGCCAGTCGGATGCGATGACGTCATACCCGTAAGTGAATTCACTTGTTTTTAACCGCTTTTAACGTCACAACTGACCTCGTCCACACTTCCGATTACAGACATGTGAAACATCTAGAAAAATTGATTTGACCCGAACTTTACGAACGTTACCAGGATTAAAACAGAGTGATTGAGTGAGTTTAGTAGGGTTTTGCGCCTCTTTTAGCAATATTCCAGCGATGATGGTGGGACTCCAGAAATGGGCTTGGCACATTATACCCATGTGGGGAATCGAACCTTGATCTTCGGCGTGACTGGTCAGACTGGTTCGGCTCGTGACAAGAAGTTGGAGACATGCATCATTTGGAGGTCATTATGACCAGATTGGCCCATGAGCCACCGCCTTCTGGCATAGGACTCTAGGCAAATAGATATAATAATATAATTGTGAAATATAACGTTCAATATCAACAATATATAAATGTACATTGATATAAATTTGAATGTTTCCATGCGCAGGGCACAGCGTGACCAGCCGATTGATAGAACCGGGCCAGTTCTACCACCCGTCTAGGTGAAGTAACGGGCGAAGTGGTGTGTTGGGCAAGAGGAACACGGTTCCAGGCTCCCAGTGCCCTCAACCACCAGACTCCCGTCCTCCACCGACAGAGGGGCACAACCCACGGCTAACAGGCTGGTGGACCAAATATACCCCCGGGTCCACACGGGGTGTTGAAGAGCGCTAGCTAGCGTTACCCAGCACCCACCACGAGGAGGTGGCTCTTCACAGGTGCCTCGGCATTGTAGAAGTTTGTGAGTCAATAATGTAGCATACGACCTTATGTATTGGTAGGTGGCTTGGTTGTTTAACGCCGCACCCATCAATATTGCAGCTATATGGACCAGACAATCCAGTGATCAACATCATGGCATGTGGCAACCAAGTCAGCGAGTCGTCCCATCTCGTTTGTCGCCACTTATGACGAGCATGGTTGCTGACGACCAATTCTAATCCGGATCGTAACGGATCCCTTATAGACAACAACTTCTCGTTTATTACATACATTTATTCAAGATCAAAACAGTGTAATAAACAAGAATATGTCATCCTTAAAGTATCATGCTTCATTACTAATCCTGGCGTCCCGTTTAAGATTGAAACTCGTGTTGTAACGAGTATCTCACGGCTCCTACCATGTGATTTCATGCTGCCAGCCAATACCTGGATATCGCTTCTAGACACATTGTATTGACTCGATTATCACTTAAAGTCGAACACCAGGAAGGGTATAAACAAGTTCCATAATTTAAGGAATCTGTTTGGAAACATGGCGACAACTGTTTCTGCTTTCGTTTCATGACTGCTATTTGTGTTTTGAAGAAACCAAACACTGCCTGTTTCTTGTCATGATGTCAGAATCTAGATCCACATGACATTTACGGGATTTCAGCACGATAATGAGAAACAGTAACGTTTTGATTTGCTCACCAGTTTTGAAGGAACATAGAACTTTTATCCATTTCGACAAAGAGAGTCACTTAGTTCTCGTTTAATATAGTTATTTTTAGTTGCTTTACTCGCAACTGTACAATCCGATAAGGAACGTCTATTCATCCCCCGGCTTACGCTCTCCAGACAGGCGCTCTACCACTTCACATCGGAAGCCATTTCGCAAACATTAAACGATCGGAACGGAGTGTAAGACATTCACACCTTGAGACAAAGTTAACTGATATCTGCTCAGCGTGAAAATATAACAAATAAATAAAAGTTGTATTAACTGACGCTTGTGTATTATTTATCTCACATAAACTGACGTGAAGAACAAATACACACTTGTGGGTATGGGATCTTTTTCTCCCCCATACAAAGTAAATATTTAGAAAATGATTTTACTGTGCCTTAAATGTTTGGAACACAGGGCACATATTGCCCTGACATGACAGATATCGTCAGTTAATTTACAGGCATGATGAACGCCATTAAATCCAGCAGTAATGTTATAGAGGTATGTCACTAAGTATTCATGAAAGTCTTCCTTAAATACTTCGAGAGTAGGGCTTTTCGTATTGACGAGATCCCACTTTCACGATATATCAACTAAATGACGGCTGGTGTTGTCAGAAGGCGTCATACAACTTCAGGGTCAGGGTCACTTGCCATCATCACGAGGGACTCCAGATTTCCAAAAGACAACTAATGAGTAATTATGGGTTATATCGGTTCGATTTAGGAGGCAAAAGTAAATTCACTAGTTAATATTGAACTGACACGGATCATATTACATAAATCATGTTTTTGCATTCAAATAAATACTGTGTGTTGCAAAATGAATTATTCAAAAGAGTTTGTCTCACTCAATGCGCCCCTTGTGAGGCAGTCAAGATCATCGCTGTTCACATAGAGCAATTACCTCCAGATGGTCTTCCTGACCCATATCATTCCATCGAACAGAAGCGTGGTTGCCATTCATCAGTCGAGAATCCCCATGATTCCCTTAAACTTTCAAAGTCGATGACTGGCATTTTAAAACGCGAATGTAAGCACTTAATAGTCCATGTTCTTGTTTCAAATTGACTGGCATAAAAAACTTCGATGAATTGATTGGCAAAAAATGCCATCCCATCGCTGCAACATGGAATTGAAAAGGCAACAACAAAATTAAAACTGACGAAACCCGTTCCAAAACCGCAATAAATTTCTACTGAAAGAGGAGTCGATTTTACAGTTCCGATAAGACTGACTGACTGACTGAGTTTGGTTTTACGCCGCTTTTAGCAATATTCCAGCAACATCACGGCGGGGGACACCAGAAATGGGCTTCACACATTGTTCCCATGTGGGGATTCGAACCCGGGTCTTCAGCGTGACGAGCCAACGCTTTAACCATTAGGCTACCCCACCGCCCAGTTCCGATAAGAACATATACATGCATAAGACAAGAAGAAGTTGATAATAATATTTTGTCTTATACTTGAATACCAACTTCTATATGTCTCTCAAGAACCTCGACATAAACATGTCTTACTGGTAAATATTGATGACACAACAAGTGAACGTGATCCGTCTTACCAGTGACGCCCGCCACACAGAACATGTCATCTGTTCCCATGAAAAAGACCCACATAGGTACAAGTCTGAATAGAGAATTAAATCACACATAACACAGAATACCAAGAGTGTGTTTTCGTGAATGTGATCTCCGGCACCCGTCACACAAATCAAGTCAGCTGTTTCCCTGAAGACCCACATAGGTACAGGTCAAGACCCAGATAAGAAGTCAAATTGCGAATTTCATCAGACATAACACAGAGCACCAAGAGTGTTCTTCCAAACATTATTTTCAAAAGAATGTTTTTGTCAAAGCGTCCCAAGCAGAGCAGTTTATTCTGGATATAGCGCCATATACGTTTGTCCATAGATGGTGGTGTATGGAACGATACGCTAATGTGGGGTAACTACATGCATTATTAATATAACTTGTTTGTATTATTCCCGAACTGCCACCATCATCAGACACGTCACGCTCACTCAGGCAAATCGTTAGAGAACCAGTGGTTGATATTATGAGCAATGTCGTAACACCTTTCTGTCTTCCCAGGTGAGTGAGTACGTGTGTATGGTTTTACGCCACTGCAAGCATTATTCCAACAATATTCCCTCCACACACACACACACGCACGAACGCACGCACGCACACACACACACCGACTTACTACTTCAATACTGCTGAAGCTTAACCTGATTTTCCCACGTGGTAAATTTACGATTCTACTGTGATCTCAATACATTTTAGCAACTGGAGAGGTTGAATGTTTTGTGACCCTCAGGTTGAAAAGTTAGCTCCTCATGACCAGTACTGAGTGTGAATCTCACCCAAAACACCAACATAGGACGACGTTACAGACACAAAAGATTTAAATAATTGACAGAAGGAAAAAAAGTTCTGTGAATAAAAAAGACATCGATATATAAACCGTTTTTTTTCATCCAGGATTGAGAGATAATGTTTTTCTCATAGTTCCATTTCTATCACTGATCGCCGTAAAAAAGTAAAACGTCAAAAGTTCCTACAGTCCCTCATCTTACATCTTGTTGTCAGGGCTGGAAATTATCCGTGTCTCTATCAATAGCCGCAGTGTCGCATGAAACGCCATGATGCATCATCTTGTTTATTTCTGACCTTTTTTCATGGCTAAAGTTCTATAAGTTACGATACAAAAATACTATAAGCAACTGAAAGAAAAAGGACAGCATACACCTTGCTGGTGGCTAGAAAGGAAACAAATAAGGTAATGTTTATCCGATTGTAATGTATCATAGTGTTTGGGGCCTTACGTTTGCAGTGTTGTTTCGGGGGCTGTTTTGATGAGGCTATTTGGTCGAATCCAATTGTCAAATATATGCAATCTCTTGCCCGCAGGATTTGTTAATGACAGAGCATCAGAGAACACAACTATTACACATAGACATCAGTGGAAGCGACATGTATGAATATGCCAAGACATATAATTAGAATACATCTGTGGCGTCATGCTATTGTCTATATGATGCTATATTTATCTCGATTCAATAATCGGAATGCCAGTTATCATTCAAAAGTCATCATAAAGTAAGGTGTACTCAAACTGGACGGACGTGACTGCGCTCGATTTCTGTTTACGAATGAGTGAGTGAGTTTAGTTTTACGCTGCACTCAGCAATATCCTCGGTATTTTGCGGCGGTGTGGAAATAATCGAGTCTGGACCAGACAATCTAGTGATCAATAGCATTAGCATCGATCTACGCAATTGGGATACGATGGCATCCAAGTCAGCGAGCCTAACCACCCGATCCTGTAAGTCGCCTCTTACGACAAGCATGGATAACCGACGATCAATTCTGACCCGGATCTTCACGGGTGTCCTATTTACGAACTTAAATAGTCCTTAACGTAAGAACAAACATAATCAATTAAAACCTGTCCAATATTTGATATGCCACATTTGATTTTTGTGATCTGGCAGCGATTTGCATTTCTTCGTGATTAACAGAGAACATCAGCACATCAGTCTTGAGAAATGCATCGAAATACATGTGACAACGAAGATGGGATTGGAATTTGGATTTCAACTCTTTTTAATTTTTTCAAAGGAAGCCGACGTCTAAGTACACATGCTAGTTCATTTATGGGAATGTCATAAAAGTATTTTCATAAAAAGTAGAATAAAAAAGAACTTAATGAACACGGGTCAACGCGTTTGATCTCAGCCTGACACTGTAAATATGTTAACAGGCGCACCACGTCTCCTTCAGCATATTAAACACGAGTCCCAAGATGTAAAACGAGTTTATCCGAAAGCAAAGGATAAACAAGCATAAAAAGCCAATTAATACAATATTAGCAGGACTTGAAGCTTCTTTGTGGTTTTAGAACTCATTTCTTTTTTAAACGTCCTACATATATCTGATTTTAACAGTCGATGCATTTTATGATTAGTGCCAAAGAAAAGGCAAATACTCAAATGTCCACGTAATGAGAGGCGGTTTGGTAGCCTGGTGTTAAAGAGTTCACTTGTCACGCTGAGTACCCGGGTACATTGTGTGAAGCCCTTTTCTGTTGTCTCTCGCTGTGTTATTGCTGGAATATTGCTAAAGGGGCGTAAAACCATACTCACTCACTCACTCTGTCTATCAATGAACCAAGGCTATTAAACATTAAACGAACACTTGTTTGTCATAATTCGTGATGACTAAAATAGTTTACTTACTTTTAGCAAATTTTCATAAAAAAAAACAGGTATCCACCATTTGGTAGCAGTCTGGAAAATACCAGAATTAAGGCCAGAATAACCAGTGATTGATGTTATGAATAACGGTCCACGCAATCAACAAAGTAACCTAGGCTGACAACCCGTCCTATCAAGTCGCACTGAACGAAAAGGATAGGATGTTGGGGACATACTTTACTTAGAATCACCTACTGGGGCGGTTGGATAGCCTAGTGGTTAAAGCGTTCGCTCGTCACGCCAAAGATCCGGGTTTGATTCCCCACTTAAGTACAATGTGTGAAGCCCATTTCTGATGTCCCCCGCGGTGTAAAACTAATCTCACTCACTAGAATCACCTATTACTTGTGACAATGTTGGCGACAGTCTTGTTAAACACGAAAGAATGTTTCCAGTGTTATCCGTAGCAATTCCTGTCAACGTGCTGTTGTTGCAACCTTTCTTACCACCTATTCCTATGATCGCCAGTGGTTTTGTAATTAGCATGAAAAATAGTCAAGTGTAACCTATTTAGTAATCATTTACGACAAAATCTAATCCAAAAGCCACATTTATTTTAAGTTTCCACACAGCTTATACAATTTCCTTAGTTGTTAATTATCGTATAAACATTTACAATGCAGTTTTTTGTTGCACATTCTTCTTCTGATTCAGAATAATCTATTTTGCGTTCATTTGATGTTTTATAACAAATAATGGAGTTAATATCACTTTAATTTGGGATAATCCTAAGTTGCTTTGACGAGTGGCGAATGACAAAACGTCTAATTTAAAGTTTCTTTGAAGATAGCTTCTTTTGCACACATTAATCGTCTGGTTTTCATTCTTACTGATATGATAGTTTATTAAATTCGGTTAATTGCTTAATTTGATTTCTCTGTGGTTTGAATTCCATTCCGAAACCTGGTTTAATCTTTTTTCCCGTTGCTTTTATCGTTAACAAAAGTTTCTCAGATCTGATTATTAGACAATGCCATTTTGACAATGCAATTACTGTAGCCTGGGCTTGCATTCCAACAGTTTCAAATGTCAGAGACTTGACATAGCCAGAGACTTGAGAGCTGCTGACATAACTAACATGAAATAACGAGGACACCAGAAAACTTGCCGAAGTCGGGACATTTCATTAATGACTTTTATCAAATATGCGTAGTAAGAGAATTTAAAAGCTTAATTGTTTAGACTCTTTCTAACAGTAGATATACTAATAGTCCAAATGATATTCTGTTTATATCTGATAGTGATACATTACAAATGCTTGTGAAATAATCAGATTCGCGAAGGAGTCTGCCTTTAGTCGAGATTACTTGTAAGTAATCAATAATCTTTTGGGGCGCTTTTTCGTATATTGATACAAGTGACTGAGTAATGTGTCGGGCGTCCGATAATTTATAACCTGAAAAATTATAACATGACAGGTGAAACTTCCCTGTTCCAGTGATATTTCATGGTTACGGCAGCCATATTTAAATATCCCTTTTCATATTGAAATTATTTCACTTAAAATGAAATAGAAATCAAATTGCGACAGTGTGTTTAGTAATCGAACTCAGCATATATGTTCCGAGATTTGGAGAATATTTTGAATTGTGACCCTAATTAAACCAATGTATGTTATATCTGTAAAAAGGGAATTTTGGGTTTGTAAACACTTTTCACACTTGTCATTTTTCCTCAAAACAGGGGATAAAGAAGTCACTTACTTGTTCCGATCAATGTCGAAAGCTGAATCCTTTCAAGAGATTCCAATCCTATTTTCAATATGACCGGCACAACAACCATATTGAAAGAAAACTAAATATTTACAGCCATTACTCTGCCACCTTTGTGCAAAATGTGACCTATAGTTTACTATGATAATAGTGTTTAACTCATATAATTCGTCCTATGCCAAGTTTTTATCTTTGTGATCCTTACATCACTACACACCCAGGTGAACTAGATTGCTATGGTGCTATACTTATTTTAACCAATTGCAGCCAGATAAAAACAGGATCGATGCCAAGATATTCCAATTCATATTGACCACGAGATTTTCTGGAAGCCTAACATAGCCCATGCATGCATCAAGCCATATTTCCCGTGTAGATTATTACCCAGGATTGTTTTCTTTCCTTGAATTACGATGAAAGCAAGACCACTGCATTAAAGTATGATGGTTCGATTTCCTCAATATGGCTTGAACCATCAGTATTTAAACAGCTTCTTCTGGCTTTGTCATAACTGAAAATTGTATAATTGCGTTCTAGTGGGAAGAAGTGAAATAAAAATCACTCACGGTTGAAACAAGACCGTTTTTCCGTTTTTATTTCCCACACATAACGATATTTTCTTCTTTGCGTGGGCCTGGATTCATTTGGGATTCTTTCACGACCATCCACTGGCGGAATGTTCTTCGAATTTGCTAAAACATCAACACGCCACCAAGTCCTTGCCATAGGATAAGTGCTACGTTTCGGTACAGATTCTTGTATCCTACTTGACAACGGTACACGAATCTGTATGGAGACGTCGCACTCACGAAATAAAATAAGTTGTTATCCATAAAGTTGGTTCAATATCCCACCCTCTCGACTATTCCATATGTTAATGCAAAGTTGCATGACAGAAGATGTGAGTACACATGAAGGCAGGTGCCTAAGGAAGTGATTTATGTTGTATTGTGGTTAGATCACGATGCATGCACTTTTACAGAAGTAGTAAAAGTTCTTACATACTTGCATCGGGAATCTATTGAGGTAAACACAATGGGATACAACGTATAATATGTGCAACTGCTCGTCAATGGGAAAATCGTTAACAGGGAGCAGCACAGAGACTCGGTTACGGCAGCAAGACAATTGTCAACTTTGTCTATAGAACCATCACCCACTCCTGCAGATTGTAAAAGATATTCTGTGACTGAGAAACTTT